TTGCACCCAAAAGCATAAGATACCTAGGAATAAACCTAACCAAAGAGGTAAAGGATCTATACCCTAAAAACTATAGAACACTTCTGAAAGAAATTGAGGAAGACACAAAGAGATGGAAAAATATTCCATGCTCATGGATTGGCAGAATTAATATTGTGAAAATGTCAATGTTACCCAGGACAATTTACACGTTTAATGCAATCCCTATCAAAATACCATGGACTTTCTTCAGAGAGTTAGAACAAATCATTTTAAGATTTGTGTGGAATCAGAAAAGACCCCGAATAGCCAGGGGAATTTTAAAAAAGAAAACCATATCTGGGGGCATCACAATGCCAGATTTCAGGTTGTACTACAAAGCTGTGGTCATCAAGACAGTGTGGTACTGGCACAAAAACAGACACATAGATCAATGGAACAGAATAGAGAACCCAGAAGTGGACCCTGAACTTTATGGTCAACTAATATTCGATAAAGGAGGAAAGACTATCCACTGGAAGATAGACAGTCTCTTCAATAAATGGTGCTGGGAAAATTGGACATCCACATGCAGAAGAATGAAACTAGACCACTCTCTTGCACCATACACAAAGATAAACTCAAAATGGATGAAAGATCTAAATGTGAGACAAGATTCCATCAAAATCCTAGAGGAGAACACAGGCAACACCCTTTTTGAACTTGGCCACAGTAACTTCTTGCAAGATACATCCACGAAAGCAAAAGAAACAAAAGCAAAAATGAACTATTGGGACTTCATCAAGATAAGAAGCTTTTGCACAGCAAAGGATACAGTCAACAAAACTCAAAGACAACCTACAGAATGGGAGAAGATATTTGCAAATAACATATCAGATAAAGGGCTAGTTTCCAAAATCTATAAAGAACTTATTAAACTCAACACCAAAGAAACAAACAATCCAATCATGAAATGGGCAAAAGACATGAAGAGAAATCTCACAGAGGAAGACATAGACATGGCCAACATGCACATGAGAAAATGCTCTGCATCACTTGCCATCAGGGAAATACAAATCAAAACCACAATGAGATACCACCTCACACCAGTGAGAATGGGGAAAATTAACAGGGCAGGAAACAACAAATGTTGGAGAGGATGCGGAGAAAAGGGAACCCTCTTACACTGTTGGTGGGAATGTGAACTGGTGCAGCCACTCTGGAAAACTGTGTGGAGGTTCCTCAAAGAGTTAAAAATAGACCTGCCCTACGACCCAACAATTGCACTGTTGGGGATTTACCCCAAAGACTCAGATGCAATGAAACACCAGGACACCTGCACCCCGATGTTTCTAGCAGCCATGTCCACAGTAGCCAAACTGTGGAAGGAGCCTCGGTGTCCATCGAAAGATGAATGGATAAAGAAGATGTGGTTTATGTATACAATGGAATATTACTCAGCCATTAGAAACGACAAATACCCACCATTTGCTTCAACGTGGATGGAACTGGAGGGTATTATGCTGAGTGAAGTAAGTCAATCGGAGAAGGACAAACAGTGTATGTTCTCATTCATTTGGGGAATATGAATAATAGTGAAAGGGAATATAAGGGAAGGGAGAAGAAATGTGTGGGAAATATCAGAAAGGGAGACAGAACATAAAGACTCCTAACGGGGAAACGAACTAGGGGTGGTGGAAGGGGAGGAGGGCGGGGGGTGGGGGTGAATGGGTGACGGGCACTGAGGGGGACACTTGACGGGATGAGCACTGGGTGTTATTCTGTATGCTGGTAAATTGAACACCAATAAAAATTAATGTTTTAAAATAAAGGAAGTATTTCCTGAGGTAAACAAAATTATCGCATGCCTACCATGAATTTTATTCCAGATTGGTAATGTATGATACCTTGAAATAATTACAACTTTTTGTAATATTATTTTTTCATTTTAAGGGAGAAAACTTAGCAACATGGTTATCGCTATTCCAATCCAGGCTCATAAGACTTTTAAAGACCTGCCTTTATCGGTAGATTTGAATCAAAGTGTATGTTCAGACAACTTAGCAAAGACATTGTAGAGGGGAAGAGGATACCACTAGGAGTTGGAAGGGGTCATGATTCTCCATTTTGAAAAAAAAAAATATTACCTAATAACTTTCTGAGTTTTGCCCATGTTTCCTGAGTTCTTTCAGAGTTTAATGTCGGCATCCAGGATACTGTTGTATGAAGAACCATATTTCTTGGGAATACATGTACATAAAAAATAACAGTTGCCAAATTTCCTAAGACTGTGGAAGAAGGCCAACATGGCAACAACTTGGAACTAAGGGACTGATCAGAATTTCTTATAAGATGTTTTATTTCAAGATATTATCAAGTAGGAAAGGACATCTTTATAAGATCGTACTACAAAATTGTAGTATTAGAATACCAGTCTAAAATCTACTATTTTTGGCATTGCATTGACCAAAATATATGGGCTTAAAAAGCAAAACAAAACAAGACAAAAACCTAGCACCTTATTTGTGTTTCTTTAATATAGAATCCTATAGTGGTTTTTTGAAATCCTCACATTATGAGATAGGGGAACATTGATTTGGAGTGAGATAGTCCTAGATGAAGAGTCTCAGCCTTGCCTGTGACTAGCATATGACCTTACCCAAGGCTAGTGGACTTAATCTCTATCCCTACTTTTCATACCAGTGTATAAGAATATGCATTTATTTCATTTGATTCTTGGGAGAGGATCTTAATAAAAGGTATTGCAACAAAAGGAAAAATGTTATCATTATAAAATGTTATAACCGTACATAAAAAGAATTTTGGGCTATTGGAATTTAGAAAGGATTGTAGCAGTTACTATGCTTTTCATGCTAAAATAAAGACATGGAAATACTGTTGATCAGTCCTTTCTTATTACTAGTATAATAATTAGAGATATTAATACTTTGCTCTTACTTTATATTACCTTTTTACTACAGAGAGGGAACATAATCAGAGTTACAATAGCAGACTTCTTGGCCTAAGCATTTTACTTCTAGGAATTTATTATAGAGTTATTCACTAATATGTGTGCATAGATAGATGTATGTGGACATTGATTATATCATCTTATGGTAAAATCCTATAGATTTGTTAATCTTCAATTGTGACACACTATGAGCAGATTATATTGTATGCATATGGTAGATACTCTGGATGGAATGAACAAGGTTGATGATAGAAAACAGGAGTGATCTTCATAATGTATGAAATAAAAGGAATAGAGCAAAATAGGGTACAATCTTTGTATAAAAATCTACATAGGGCAGCCCAGGTGGCTCAGCGGTTTAGTGCTGCCTTCAGCCCAGGGTGTGATGCTGGAGGCCTGGGATCGAGTCCCACGCCAGCTCCCTGCATGGAGCCTGCTTCTCCCTCTGCCTGTGATTCTGCCTCTCTCCCTCTCTCTCTCTCTCTCTCTGTCTCTCATGAATAAATGAAATCTTTTTTAAAAATCTTAAAAAAATCTACATACACAGACTCACATTCATGTATGCATAAAGTATTTCGGGAGAATGTTCTGAAATTTGAAATTGGTTTCTTCTAAGGGGTGTATGTCTTGCTTTAGAAGGAGATTTGTTTTTGTATTTCTTGTACTTTACTCTTGCATATAAAATGTAAAAATTAGTTTAAAATATTAATGGAAGGAAATAAATAACAAGGCAAACAATAGCTGTCTCAGGGTGGTTGGCATATGATTGATATACATTCATGTCTGTGTGTGTGTATGTGATATATCTGAATTATTCTCTAATTCTGTAAGAAACATCTTTCTTTTGTAATAAATATAAATTTTAAAAATATAGCACTGGTTGACAGATTCATAATTTGAAATGAACTCTAATTTACTCTTATTCCACTTTACCATTAATCTATGCATTGCTTTTTAGCATTTCTGAGTAATTTCAGTATAAACTTTAAGCAGTTGCTTTACTTTTTTTTAAAAGACCTGATTATCAGGTATGTCAGGATAATATAATCACTCTTAAATTTTTACTTTATAAAATTATTCACACATTTTTTCAAATGGAGACAGCAGAAAGAAGCTAAACCCAAATTGTCTTTGTATCATCTTATGTGATTCTTAATAATATCTTTTGAAATTATATTATTCCTCACTTTGCTTCTGCAGATAAAATAAGTCATGGCAAAAAAAAAAGTCATGGCTTAAGTAAAATTACAATTCCTTTGTTCATTTCAAAAACATTTTTAAAAATCCATTTCTGCCTTAAAAGTGATAATGGTTGAATATTAATTGGCACTATTGTATAGATGTTGGGGGAAGTTAGATACTGTATCTCACAGACCTAGGTCAGTTATTATTTAGGTTAACACGGGACTCTCAGAAATAGGTATAAATCAGCAATCTTCTGATGTGAAGTTAAGATACAAGTGGCACATCTGACTATTTTCTCCATAGACGTATGTGTTTAAATAAGTAGATTTTCTCTTGAGGGAAATGCAGGTATCACAACATAAGACAATTAGCTGCTATGAGGGCAGGATTTATGAGCTTCATTCACTACTGAATTGCCACCATCATGTGCCTGGTACATAGCAGATGACGGTTAAACATTTGTTAACTTTTGTAATTTTTTAACATTAGCTTGCAAGTTTAATTAATTGAAATACAAAGAAAATTGAACTATATTTAAATTGTTTAAATTATGTTCAATTTTGAGATAAGAGAACTTCTAAAGATGAAAAACGGAATGCTGCCCTCTCTGTTGGAATCCGGGCATATTGCACATTCCACTAGAAAGCTTCATTATGCAAATCTATTTATTTATTTTTTATGCAAATCTATTTAAATTCTGTTTAGTGATATTCCTGATAGATTTTGAGATTGATCACACAGTTGACAGCAACTATATTTTTCCAAGATACTTTATAAACATATTTTGATACACTTTTTTTGTGCTTGTCTCCTTTGAAGAGTCCCTGTAACCATTCAGCCAGGTGTCGGGAAGCTATGTAGTCGCTGAGCACCCTTCTGACACTCCTCAGAATCAGCTTTGGAGATGCTTTCACCTTGTCCGTCTTCTTCAGCAGCCAGGCAGAGTGCTGAATCCTTCACAGCAGTGAGGAACTCTTCTGGCTCCAGAAGTAAGTTGACAACATTCAGTTTGATCATTTCCAGTGGTTTTAAAAATACTTAGAAGAGGCTAGCTGGAAATCTTGCAAATTAATATACAAATTAAAACCAGGATTATTCATCACTGACTATTTCACTTCTTTGTTGGATTTTATCTTTCTGATGCTATAGTTACTACTTTTATGTAGATAACCTGTATGAGATTTTCTGAGATTTTTTTTCAGGATTGTGTCACATGATTTATCATGATTTATTTATATTCACAGCTTTGAGGCATAGAGAGAGGAGAGATTCAAATAATAGTTTACGCATGAGCAGATGGACTCAGAATGACCAAATATTTTATAAAAGTTGCTTGGCCAATGAATTATGAAGATGGGACAAAATTTCTGGTCTTTTGATTCTTAAATATCAAGAGCCCTTTCCATGACTTTGATCTCCAGTTATATATGGAGGGTAAGGGACTGATGCAGGAAACAGCATTTTTCTTGATTGGATGGTTTACTGAGTGACAGACACTGTGTCATTGAAGGAGAGTTTATGGCAAATTATAAATATGCATTATAAAAAAATAAAAGGGAAATCACAGGTAGGGAAATGGATTGAAATGGGGATATGAAGAGTGTACAAGATGCGTAATATATTATACACCACCCGAAAACAAATTTCCAGCTGCATATTGATCTTTGGGCTTCTTCATTACTGGATATATCAGGTAAACACATCAAATTATATGATTGTTTGTTTGTAAGATATGAAAAGTAAATACAACATCTTGGGGAATGTTCAGACTTTCCTAGTTCATACTTATAATCCTTTTGTTTTGCCACTTTCCTAGTTTACTTGGTTTAAATTTAACATATTTTTTCCCCTTCTCCCAAATACTTGATGTAGGCATCCCTCGCTTCTCTTAGGGATATATTTATTTCAAAATATCACCACACAGAAAAAGATTATGAGTGCATTTTTAAAGATAAAAAAGTTTGATTTAGCCCAGATTATTTTTTAAAATAAAGTGCTTAGTAATTAGAATTTCCTTAAAGAGAATGGGTAGAAAACATTTAATAACATTAGTTTTATTTTGCAACATAGTATAGCTTCAGTGAGCCAGCAACAGATAGGTCTATGTCCTTAAAGGAACAGGGGGACTGTTGTTAAGAATTTATTTCTGAATTGTGGTGCTATCTATTACATAGATTAAATGGGCATCCAAAATGTTGTTGCTAGTGTACTCAGAGTAATATAGAAGGACTTCTTTTAAGACATAAATAAAAAGGATATATTAGTTTATATTGAAGTTAATTCATTATGACTATAACTGTAGCATAAAATGATGAGTCTGAGTATGCAGAAGATAGATTACAAATCATCATTTTAGTGTAGGTTTTTTTCTATGCATATTTTATTACCTTGTACTCTTTTCATACTTCATTTATTCATTTATCTTAAAAATTGCTTTTGCTGTTTTTGTTCTTGAGCTTTTCATTAAATAAAGCAACTTGAGGGAGACATTTCAGATTTTCTAGGTGTTGCTTTTTGTAAAGAAATGGAGGATCCTGATGAGTTTGAGTTGATTTCACACATTTTGAAGATATGGAGCTATGTAAGATTTGTTTCTTAAAGGCAACCCACAAGAGCCTACAGAGATTTTTATATGTCCATACAATAAATTAAATAATTAATAAATTTTTGTTTTCCACAGATAAAGCTGACTTTTTCTAAGTAAAACATCTGACTTAATGAAAGCTGTTAGCATAGGAAATACATTTACTGACATAGATTCTCTAGTGTAAGTCACAGGACTTAGTGAATTCAAATACATTTTCATTTACCAATGGCTATAAACAAGGCCAAAGGATTTACTTAATTAACTTGGCAATAGAAGGCTAAACAGAAATAATTTATATGTTGAGAAGGACTCTTCTGAGTTAATGCTTAATTCAATTTTTAAATTACCAGTCCATTACTCTGTAGAAGTAGAATCTCCTTTTCCCTTTCTATTTTTTCTTTGGAGTAACATTAGGCTGAAAGTCTTGCATGGAATTAATCACTCTGAAAAAAGAGAAAGTAAATACATTCCTAATTAGGTTCCTCAAATTTCAAATAGCTCATTGAAAATTCATAGCACATCCATTAAAATCCCTTTAAAAATAAATGGAATACTGGGAACTTTCTGAGAGGAAGTAAACCATGGAGAAGTAGTAAAATAATGAAGCAATGGAATATATATCTGTTACTAGTGTAGGACAGTTGAGGTAGTGGTGGTTTTTATGATGATAATTTTTCTCACTGTGGCATTTTGAATTAGTCTTAGCCAGTAAAATAGTACTTTTGTCTGTTTCTACTGTTCTTTCTTATTTAACTAAAGCACTGTGATGAATTTAAACAATAAACAATAATATCTGAACAGGAAATGGGCATGACTGTCTAAATATATATATATGTATATAAACATCTAAAGATAATTTACTATATACATAGCAGTAATGATAATCACTCTACAAGGCTAATATGACTTGTAAATATTAAGTATTCCTACTGACATTAAATATATATTTAAGAGGCTTTTATTTTTTCTGAAAAAAAAACCCTATTTTTAAGACTTATAAATTATCAACTCTGATCATATTAATTCACTGTGGTTTTACCATTGTCATAATAATCAGTATATTATCATTTGACACTTTCCAGTACTTTTTAATAAATATTAACTTATTTGATTCTTATATTACCTCTATGAGGAAGTTTAACAAATTATGTAGGCTCTCAACCAGATATATATATTTTTACATTGAATACCTTCAGGTATATATTTATACATTTGAAGTTATCCTAGATACTTGAGCTATAAGAACACTGATAGAAGGGGTGCCCCAGGAGCTCAATCAGTTAAGTGTCCAACTTTTGAACTCAGCTCAGGTCTTGATCTCAGGGTCATGAGTTCAAGTTCCACACTGGGCTCCATGCTATGTGGGGATCCTACTTGAAAAAAAAAAAAAAAAAAACAGAAAATTAAAGTTATTGATAGCACAAATAATATGCTAACTATGAATGATAAGATGGGTAATGGATTAGGTTCAGTAGCCCTGAAAGGTATAGCCAAGAGGAAACCTGTTATATCATGTAGTGCTCATTTCATTTTATTTTTTTAAATTTATTTTTTGTAGTTCTCATTATAAAAAGAAGGGAGAATAAAATTCTCAAAAGAAGGAAACTGTAAAAAGACAAAAAGAAGCAAACTTTGTAATGACTCTCACAAATATATGTATTCAGGGATGCCTGGGTGTCTCAGTGGTTGAGCGTCTCCCTTCGGGCCAGGGTGTGATCCTGGAGTCCCGGGATCAAGTCCCACATCGGGCTCCCTGCATGTAGCCTGCTTCTCCCTCTGCATGTGTCTCTGCCGCTCTCTCTCTCTCTCTCTGTGTGTGTGTCTCTCATGAATAAATAAATAAAATCCTTAAAAAAAAAAACCAAACCCCCCCACAAATATATGTATTCAGTGCCAGTCAATTCCAAATTAATGTATCTAATTTCCTAACTGCCTTAAATTTAACATGCTGCTAACTAAGCTCTTGATCATCTTGCCAGATACTCTTTTTGATATTCTGGAGCTCACAAAATGTCATCACCATATGCCAGAAAAAATAGGAACCATCTTCTTACCTTTCCCCTTCGTTCTACAGATTCCATCACCTAATATGGTCAAATTTACTTAGAAAAATTTTCTTGAATATATCAATTTTTCTCTGTTTGTGACCATTAGTACCCTGGTCCCAAAGACCATAATTTCTCCCCTGGGCTACTCCAGAGGCTTCTTAAATTATCTGCTCACATCCACCAATGCACGGATTCTGTTTATTCTCCATAGGCAGGCAGAGATTTTTTTTTTTTAAATTTTTATTTGTTTATTCATGAGAGAGAGAGAGAGAGAGGCAGAGACACAGGCAGGGGGAGAAGCAGGCTTCATGCAGGGAACCTGATGTGGGACTCGATCCTGGGACTCCAGGATCACCCCCTGGGCTGAAGGCGGCACTATACCGCTGAACCACCTGGGCTGCCTGAGAGAGTATTATAAAGTACAAAACTGATGTGACATACCTCTTTAAAGACTGTTACTTGTAGAATATGAATAAAATTCCACATCACAGCGTATTATGCTTGAATGGTTTAGCACTTTTCCAAATGTCCCCAACTTATTTCACACTGTGTTCCTCACCTTTCCTACATTCCAGCACAGAGGCCTTTCCACCCTTCTTCCACATCATGTGACCTCCCACCAAAGTCCCACCACATGGTTATTTTCCCCTCAGCAGATCATCACTCTCAATTCCTTTTTGCCCAGTATCTCAACACAATACTCACTTCCTGAAAGAAGCCTTTCTTGTTCTGCCTGACCAGATCATCTCCACAGCACATAGCTCCACAGCACTGTGTAACTGAAATTCATTACAAGTTAATGTCTCTCTATGCAATAATTTAATGTTGACCTCCCTTTCAGAATGTAAACGCTATAAGGTCACGATCCATGTGCATTTTGCTTATCAAAGAAACCTGTTTTTATTTCTTGGACACTATGAGCATGGGCCTAGAGCCTCTCTGCCCTCGCCCCCCTGCCCCTAGCCCCATCATGTGGGTTTCAAGGACATCAACTGGAATAGAATTTTTAAGCATCAACTATGAAACCTCTTTTTTTTCTGTGTTTTCCTGTTGTCATAGTTTGATCCAGTTTTATTGCAGCCTTGTCATTTTCAGTGGGTGGTTATTTTTCCAGGGCCTTTATACCGCTGCCTTCTCTCCTTCTTAGTCTCGGCTATATTCCTCAGGGTCTTATTTTCTGATAGGTGATGGATCAAGATCCTGTCCCTGCTGTTATAAAGCAGGTACAAATGAATCCGATTGGAATTTTTGTTTAAAAATAATTATAGATCAGTAGGAAAGGTAAGGGTATCGCAATGCAGAAATAACTACCATAAGGTAACTAGTGATGGAAAGCTACAAATAGTCATTACAT